AAGACATTTGACTGGATGCTCCTAAAGAGAAATGCAATTCCAATGCCTGTCTGAGCTCCCGAGTCAGAAGTCCTATGGCATTTGTGCCAGGCCAAGAAATGCAGAGATTACAGATGCGAAGCGGACCAGATTAGGCAGCAGGGCAGAGCAGTTCCAGCACAAATATGTGCAGACACCCGTGACACAGGACAGGACGTGACAAACAATGGGGTCACAACAGGGACAGAAATCTCTTGGCAAGAAGAAGGACTGCAAGGACTGAGAGACTGCAAAATGAGAGGAGCGAGGTGAGACTGACGGCGAGCTGATGAGGCTCACAGAACTCTGGAGGAAGAATCTGCTAAGACAATGGTTTATTCCAAGAACTCCAAAGATGGATGCCTGAGAATCCTACGGTCAGAATCCCCTACGTATCCTTGCTTTCTTACAAGTCCTAACCCGCAATAATGGATCCATGCGGGGCGTAGCTGTCTGTACAGCTCAGAACAAGACCTTAGAAGACATCAGACAGGATGCTCCTATAGAGAGATGCGCTTCTCATGCCTATCCAAGCTCCTGAGACAAAAGTCCTCTGGCATTGGTGCCAGGCCAAGAAATGCAGAGATCACAGATGCTAAGAATGATGCCAGGGTTTCTGATAGGCCACTCAAAGGGCTAAGGTAAAAGATGTGAGATACCCAAACAACACATAATGCACGATAGACAAGGGACACCACGCACACCGGGACCGCTCTGCCCTGCTCACCACAGCACTGGGATCAAAAGTGACACTTTCCCTTTATATGGCCTAAGAGGACATTTCCTGGATATCCTCATCTCCAAGGCTGACTCAAAACACCGTCCCGGCGAGTCCTGACACAGCAGCCTCCCATCATCCCCTCTGCGCGTCATAGCCCTCAACTTATCTCTTGGCTGTCCAGGAATGAGAATCCACATCAGGTGCAAAGGAAGGCCACCAGGCTGTCTGGGAGGTTCCTGCTGTCACCAGGCTGCTTTCTCCTAGTAGGTCAAGGTAAAGAAAACCAGACATCAGTGCATAATCTTAGCAGCACATCGACCAAAACCCAACAATTCTGCCACTCACCGCCTCCTAAGAATGACCGGGTCCTCGGGCCGCACGCTTCGGCCGTGCTTTTGAGACCGATTCCATCATTGCAGGGTATGCCTGGGTAAAGGGGAGACACGTGAGGTGGCACTGCTGAAACTTGAGCGGACCCAGGCTCCTCCTCACTACCTCCCCGACTCACCACAACTCCATGGCCTCTCCTGAGGGTGACCCAGAAAGGACCTTTAAATAGACAATTTCAAGGCTTCATCACAGGGTCCTGCAATACCTCCACAGGGCTCACCAGAACAGCAAATTTGGTCCAGCAGCCGGTTGGAGACGGGGACTTGGCATAAACTGAGTGAATTACCTAAGGCACACAAACACACAAAGAATGGATGCTTAGAGTTGCACCAGAACTTAAGATCTGAGCACTAACAACTGCTTCTCTCCCATGCTCACCTTGCCCACTTCTCCTTGACTGCTGCTAGATGCCTATACTTCCTGAAAATAAAGAAAAAGAACAATGCTGTAACAGAGTCACCATTTACGCTTCCCCTGCGGAGACAAACATTGACTGACCTCCTCAGGGGAGCCCACTCACCTGGGATGGGGTGCTCTGCCATGGATTTTATCCACCTGCATCTGAAAGAAAATCAGGACAAATGTCAAAGGGCTGCAGGATAACTTCACAGCTTCAGGCATCTTGTGTCCATCTATGAATACCATCCAGAGTCCAACTACACCCCACACTACAAATTTCAAGCCCCCAGGATTTGCCCTACTACACCAGGCTATGCAGCAGGGCAGAGCAGCTCCGGCACAAACATGTGCAGACACCCGTGACACAGGACAGGACACGACAAACAAAGGGGACACAGAGACAAATCTCTTGGCAAGAACGACTGCAAGGACCGAGAAAACGCAAATTAGATGACCGAGGTGAGACCGACGGCGAGCTGTAGAGGCTCAGAGAACCGTGGAGGAAGAATCTGCTAAGAAAATGGTTTATTCCAAGAACTACAAGGACGGATGTCCGAGATCACTACTGTCAGAATCCTCTACCTATTTTCACATTCTTACAAGTCCTAACCTGCCATAATGGATCCTTGCAGTGCACCGCAGTACATACAGCTCTGAACAAGACCTTAGAAGACATCAGGCCAGATGCCCCTAAAGAGAAATGCAATTCTAATGCCTGTCTGAGCTCCTGAGTCAAAAGTCCTCTGGCATTGGTGCCAGGCCAAGAAATGCAGACACCAAGATGCTAAGAATGATCAGGGTTTTGATAGGCCCCTCAAAGGGCTAAGGTAAAAGATTTGTGACATGAGACATATAACAACACATAAGGCACGTTAGACAAGAGACATAATACACACCGGGACTGCACTGCCGTGCGCACCTCAGCGGTGTGATCAAATGTGACACTTTCTCTTTATGTGGCCTAAGGAGACATTTCTTGGGTAGCCTCAGCCCCAAGGCTGACTGAAAAACCCCTCTCGGCGAATCCCAACCCAGCAACCCCCTTTCCTCCCCTCCGTGGGTCGTAGCCCTCGACTTATCTCTCAGACATCTGCGGATGCCAATCTGCATCAGGTGCAAAAGAAGGCCACCTCGCCATCTGGGAAGTTCCTGCTGACACCGGGCTGCTGTCTCATAGCTACATTAAAGAAAACAAAACATCAGTATATGGTCTTACCAGCACATTGCCCAAAACCCAACTCTTCCACTACTCACCATCTCCTCAGAATGCCCAGCTCCTCAGGCCGTAAGCTTCAGCAATGCTTGGAGGCCGATGCCGTGGTCACAAGGTGCGCCTGGGTCAAGGGGAGACAGGGAGATGTGGCGTAGCTGAAACCTGAGCGGACCCTCGCTCCTCCTCCCTATTCCCCGACTCACTGCAACTCCTCGGTGGCTGCCAAAGGCCAGCCCGATGGCACCTTTAAACAGAAAGGTTCAGGGCTTCATCACAGAGTCCTGCAATACCTCCACAGGGCTCACAAGAGCAGCAAAACCGGTCCATCAGCGCTGATATCTGGCTTTACCTCCTAAAAATAAAAACAAAGAACAGTGCTGTAACAGAGTTACCATTGACACTTCCCCTGCAGAGACAAACTGTGACTGACCTGCTCGGAGGAATCCCCCTCAGCCGGGATGGGGTGCTCTGCCACGGATTTTATCCGCCTGCATCTGAAAGAAAGTCAGGACAAATGTCAAAGGGCTGCAGGATAACTTCACTGCTCCAGACACCTTGTGTCCATCTACAAATCCCATCTAGAATCCAGCTACACCCCACACTACAAATTTCAAGCCCCCAGGATTTTTCCTATTACACCAGGCTATGCAGCAGGGCAGAGCAGCTCTGGCACAAATATGTGCAGACACCCGTGACACTGGACACGACAAACAAGGGGACGCTAAACACAACAACACGTTATGCTACTAACAATGTGACACAAGGATGAGAAAAATGTTCCTGGCAAGATTAATAATGGCAGGGACTGAGTGGATGCCAAAAGGGATGACCGATGCCAAGGTGACTGTGGATGGAGGGGGCTCCTTTAAGGAGCAGAAGAAAAGACTGGAACAGTGTGACCTCTTATAGGAGCTGTTGGTCACGATGATCAAGATGGCTGTGAGACAATGCTACGTTTAGAATGCTCTCTGTATTGTACGATCTTATAAGCCCTAGGTTCGAGAGCCTAGAGATGATGGCTGATGCTTGCGGTAAGGGCCTCGAGGGGAAAAGGCAGAGATCTCAGCCAAGGGACTCCAAGGACACACTAGGTAACACAGTACACCAGATAACACAACACAGACCAGAACTGTTCTGCACTGCACACCTTACAGCTGCAATCAAAAGCAGAGCCTCTCCCTTTTGCTGTCCTAAGAGGCCCCTTAGAGAACATCCCTTTACCCTCTGCTAATTTTTAGATCTGTCCCAGGAACTTCCAACCCACTATTCTCCTACCATCCCATCTCCAGGCAGTGACCCCAAACGTATCTTTTTGATGACCGGTGATGCGAATCCACGTTGGACCTGAAATGAGCCTGTCTCAGAGGGCCCCGTGACTGCCCGTTAGCCTCTCAGTCAGCTACAATAAAGAAAAACAAAAACAGTGTATGAGTTTAGTGTTATATGGGCCAAGTCCCAGCAAGTCAGCTACTTGCCCTTGCCTGAGGGTGCCTGGGTCCCCGTGTCCCCAGCTTCACCCTGCATCCAAGGATGTGGCTGTTATTATGAATGGCACCTGGGTTAGAGAGAGCCAGTTACATAGCATTTCTGTGAGTGCAGTGGATGAGCTTGTGTGCTGTAAGACATGTGAATGCCCCTACTACGCTTGTGAAAAGCCTTTGGGGGCCCCCAAATAGACACTGTTTCTCACCCTGCTGCCTTCAGGCCCCCCACAATAACTCCTAACCAGGTACCTGCTCACCCTCCCTCTCCTAGTCACAATCCTCAACTCATCTAAAGCCTCAGTCTCAAACATCATCTTTGACACAGGGCAGTTCTCTTTTGTGACATGATGAATTTGCTGAAAAAAGGGTTGCACTTGACACAACCTGGAGTTTCTAGAAGTTGCACTCCTCCTAAAAAAACCCAAAAAACCAACCAACCAACCAAAAAAAAAAAAAACCAACCCCAAAAAAAACCCCAATAAAACCAGAAATTACAAAAGCACCTTACCACCCCTGAACATACAACCTGAAGTCAGGAACTTAAATAATCCCTGTGTTCAATGCTGTTTTCTTCACTCTATCTTCAAAGCCTCTCTTGATTTAGATGCCCAAAAACCCCTGCTGAAAACAAGCTGAGATGTGCTGAAAGAGCCTCTTCACTGAAATGAGAAGAAAGCTCTTAACCTAGCAAATCCCAGGGAGGGAATGAAGCCCCTTAGCAAAGGCTGGGGTTAATATACCCCTGATGGTGCCCGCCTCTCATTCCCATGGCACCCAGGAAAAGGGAGGGGACACATCCCACCAGGTATAAAAGCTCTCAGAGAGGCTGCAGCTGTTTGGCTCCTCTGATTTGATTTTGAGGGGGGTAAAGGTCTTGATATAGGAGAAAACTCTACAGGTAAGCGACAGCACTTTCTTTTTTGCTACAACTACTTGGAGCAAAAGGGTAGAAAATTGGCAAGAAAGAAAACTTTGTGTTTAGGTAGCACAGCTAGGTAAGTTGGGTAATTTTTTGTTGACTTATTTAGTTATTCCTTAGGGACTAATAGGTAGTACTGCACATGTGATTAAGTAGGGTGAAGAAGAATAGTAATTATATGAATGATCTCAGTCTGCTTGGGGCTTCTAATTAGGGCTGTCTACATTATAAATACAAATAAGAAAAATAATAGACTCTTGGATAGTGTTGGTATTATGTATGTGCTGAACATGCTCCTATACAAGGTATTTGGTACTGGGGCATGGGTAGAAGCACTCTGAAATGCATATTTTAACCCTTAAAATGCTGAAAAAGGGAGAGCTTCCTTCAAGTGAAATGAGGAAATGGGGCAGTAACCTCCATTTAAACTGATACAATGGTAATTAAATGGCTTCTGCCCTTTAATTTAGTCCCTCAAAGTATTGGGAGAAGAGGGGTTTTCCTCACTTTAAATTTCTCATATAATGGAAAAAGGGGAAGTTTTCCCTTCCATTCAAGCCCTTAAAAACCTCAACCCTAAACCCTAACCCTGTCGACCAGTGTGAGTGGCTGCAAACGGAGGCTCTTTTCCATGGGAAAAAGAAGTCATTTTCCCAGGGTCTGAGTATCAGCTCCGAGGTGGCATGTGGGGCTTTAAGGGCATGCAGGGTCTTACTTGCTTCATTCCCCCGATTTCAAACACAGTAATGAAGGAGGAGTTGCTTCCCTCTGCTTAAACTCCTTTTGTCCTATAATTCCCATTTTTTTCTAGGGGCACTTTGGAGAGACTGGCAAGAGGAAATCAAAAGTGAAAAGGAGAAAGATTCCCCCCTGCAACTCCACGCGCTGGCGCATCTGCTAAGCTGCTGCTGCCTGGCAAGAAGGTTTGTCCCTCAGCACCTCCTTTAACTAATGCTCCACACATCCAAGTTCACATCCAGGTGCTCCGCCAGATCCTGTGAGAATCTCTCACTGTCATGTAGCCAGATGTACTATCACTTTCAGAGCCAGCAGCTGCACTAGGTTTCTTGCTTGTGTCTGTTAGAAGTGCTGCTTAGGGTGTCATGCCCATGTGAGGCATGGGCAGTCCAAACAAAACATGCCACAGATGTAAACTAGTGCATGAGTTATTGCTACTATTCATATTACTTTTAAATGCCAAAGGAGGTTGCAGTTATTGCTACAACATATCGCTATTCATAAAGCTGCTAACATCAGTGGTTATTTTTCAGACCGTTACTCAGGGTATTTTGCTATCATTTTCTTCAACTTAATTTTACTAGTCTGCTTCGTTCTTTTTTCATTTCTCCTGAGTGCTGTGGGTGGCAAAATATAAGCAGCCTTTGTTTAATTCCCTCCTTACTCCTGAAGGCTTGAATTACTTCACTTATTCGGAATCTGCTAATCTCCCGTGAGGACGGAGTCCCCACCTCTGCCTGCAGACCAGCGGACAAAGCTGCATTTCTCCCCACCTGAGCTGATTCCTTTTAATAAAGGCATTTAAAAGGAGAAAGATCTCCTGCCCATTTATTTCATTTAGTACCTTTCTTAAAACATCTTGCAGCACTGGTCTTGAGCTGGTTTGCATTCACTCCAACTTCTCCCACAGCAAAAGCTGGGACTAGGCGCACAGAATCTCTAAGTTCGTGCCAAACACTGGTCTTGCCAAAGAAGTGTTACAAACGTTGTCAGAAAGTAGCTAGCTGTTCTCATAATGGTGTGCCCTCACTCTACTACACTGTTTGCTTTAGGGCACAAATTGAAACAAAGTCAAGAATAATCACAAGACGGTAAATAATCTTTTAATGGCATAATACATGTTCAGTTTAATTTACATTCTGTATCACCCAAGTTTCTTCATAGAGTGTAATTCCAAATTCCCGTTTCGCCATGCAGGTGCTCATCATTCTTTGACCCATTAAGAACTGATGCCGCTGCAGTTGCCAGTTGGTGACTTACATGCTCAACACTGGTATTTCCAGCTGTAAAATTTAGTTTTTTAATACAACATCAGTTATTTTGCCTTTTAAACACCACAACATTTTTGTCACAGAATTCACTAAATAATTTTGAAGTAAGTCACCTACAGTAAACTGAATTCTACTTTTGATTATAGAGTGCTAGTCTGCAATAATTAAAAGAACTAGTGCAATAATGAAAGAGCTACCAAACAGGCAGAAATACTGTGCAAATTACATTGTTAGTAGTTTAAATATGCAGATAACACGTTCTACAAAATTTTTATATGAGTTTTTCCCTAGAACAGTTTCTCAAAGCAAAAAGAAAAAAAAAACAAGTGTGTCACTAATTTTAAGCTACTTTAATTAGCTCAAAGGTTCTTTGTTTTGTTGAAGTGCCAATTCTGAACATACAATCTGTAAAAGAAAAAATATATACGTATTTATGTATATATATGTATTCCTGGACATTAAATTCTCCTTTGACAAATAGTTCATGTAATAAAGGGCATGATGGTCTGGCAGGAATGAGGGAAAACAAACAAACAAACAGAAAACCAAATTACAAACCTCTCCAAAGGAAAAAAAAAAAAAACAAACGTGTCTGGAATTAATCCAGATTAGCCGTGCCCCTTCACAGCCAGCACTAGTCTTTCCTACTAAAAACTGCATGTGGTAGTTTTTAGAAATCAAAGAGAGGGAAGAACAGAAATGAAAGAGAGGGAAGAAAGAAACAGGCAACTTCAAAAAGGGAAAAAAACAATCCAAAAAGATACAGAGAAAACTTCAAGTGTTATGAAAGGAATCAGGCCTTGTGGTTCAAATACAAAAGTGGAGTTAGTTAACAGACACGTTTGTTCTATTAATGATGTAATATCAGTTTCCTTTTAAATTGGCACCTTAAGGACTGGAGACAAACTTCAGTTATAGCAGCGGTCAAAATTTTTCTCTAAAGCTAGAATTTCAAGTCATCAACAGTTTTTTTGAGGACAAAGTAAGTCCTTGTGCACAGGAATCAAAACCTAAGTGCTTATTAAAAACTTTGTCTACTGAATGTTACCACCATATATGCCAGATTTTTTAACTGTTACTGTAACTGAAAACAGCATTGGGGTATTCACATTCTGAACAGACAACAATGGAAAAGAATGATACCAAAAAAACTCACCAGAATTTCCTTTGTATGCAATACCATGTTGACCTAATAAAACTCTAAGTTTTTTTATTTCTTCAGAAAGTTGCTTGTATTCCTAAGAAAGAAAATATATTAAAAATTGCCCACCCACTTTTCAAATACATACCTAGATTGAGAGCTTTTAAGAAAAAAATGTGTCTGTGCACAGCTGTTACACTTCTTGGCTTTGAAGAACTTAAGTGCTTGTTCCAAGAACATAGAGCAAATTTTAGAAAAAGATACATGTCTGTGTTGCCAAAAGAGAAGCCAGCTTTTTTGAAGCCCAAGAGTAAAAATTAGAAATGCTTTCCTATCTGTCCTGTAATTAGAATTTTATCATAGAACAAATCTTAAGTTTGCTTCGGGGCTACCGTTATTTTATAATTATCGTAATTCTGCGGTCTGGAAATTTGTCAACTCCTCTACTCCTGGCCTAGTAACTTCATGTTCTTGCTCTCAGCATTTTCTGTTCCTGACCTTACTGACGGGGATTGCTTAGTTATTTTGAGACTCAAAGCACATACCTGAAATCTCAGAGCAGCCCCTATTTTTTGCTGTGTTTTGGTGGTTACATGAATAAAGATAAAGCAAAAGAATAAGTATTTAAGATTCTGTGTTTACCAAACCAGCCAATTTATGTCAATTAAGCTATGATGAAGCCAGAAAAAGAAATAGAAATTATAAAATACTGTATTGTTAATGAGTGAAAAAAATAATCACGTGACTGTTCCAGCTCCTACCAGATCAAAATGGTGGTCTTTATATTAAAGTCTATTCAGCTTAACCGTAGTTTTATTTAGCAATATTAATGAATTACTACATGGTGTTTTGTCTTTGCTACATTTTTCAAATAAAAAGACAACACCAACTGCTTCTCTGCATTGTAATGAATGAATTCCCATCCGTGATCTTTTTCTGATGGTCAGGTTGTGCTCTTTTAGGCAGAGCACACCTTCTGCCTCTATTTTCCCCATTCCAACTCTGTTGCAGGAGAACTGTTCACATACACAAGAGTCACTCAGAAATAAATACAGCCATTCTGCCTTTTGCTTGTGCAACAGCTAATGCATTCTTACACAAGTTTGGGTAATTATTCACAGAGATAATTATCCACAGAGATTATTTAAAGTGTCAACATTCTCGAGGTTGGTTACACATTTATCTTTGCTAGTAATTTCTTCCTGTCTCCAGACTGATATTCCCCAGAAAGAGTACCTACAAGGGGTTCATAACCCAGGCGCATACACCAATTCCTTCGCAACCCCCCATCTTCTTACTGGGCATTCATTTTTGCTGGTTTGTTTTTGACTTAGGGGCTATAATAAAGATACCGAATCACACTACATGCAGGCCGTCACATATTGAAACCAGAAAGGATAACCCCATGAAGAGATTCAGCTGAACACCAAGGGAATTTACATAATGCTCTCTCACTGATACTGTCATATAGTGAAAAGTTGGCAATTCCACATTGTAAATATTATGCTCTATACCTTACTGCACTTTTCCACTGATTCAAATTCCAGAGTTATTTTCTTACTCTGTTTTTCACCTTCATTTTCTTCTGTTGCTTTTAGAAGTCCTGCTTCCTCAAAAATCTCTTTCAGAATTTTTTTGTAACCCTAGAAAAGAAAGTTTCCAAAAGGTGATAGATCAATCTATTAAACTCTCCATCTCTGCTTGTAATTTGCACTGGCCATTCCAAGTCCTCAAGCTTCATTACCAGTTCATATAGCAGTTACAGAACACAAAAATTACTATTTGCCAACTGCAGAATAAATGCATCTACTCCGAAAGGAGAAACTACAGAAGCCGGGTTTGGCTATTTGACAGTAACTTTTTTTTTTTTTTACCAAATAGAGTTGAAAGAATTAATAAACCTGGTCGGTTATTAGTTCGTCGTACAGAAGCTGCTCTGCTTCATCCCACTTCCTCTGTAGTGCTTCAGTCAGAGTTGGATAAACTGAAAAATGGAAGTCAAACCATGTAAAAACCAGGAGTGCTGTCCTGCATTAGTTAATGTATCCTCTAGTATCATGCAGGAATATTTGTTTTAAGAACTCGATGTTTCTTTACAGTACACAGCCTCCACTGCTTTCAAGAGGCTTATGCTTAAATTGCACTTTGCACATTTGAAGTTTCTGGAGAATGACCAGAAAATTTTCCTATTTCCAGGAAATAGGAAAAAGGCCTCATATTCCTTTGCTCAATTCTAATGGAGATTTTTTGTAATGTAAGTAAATGGGCAGATAGTACAGGGCTTATTCCTACAGACCAAGAAAAGAAAAAAAATTATTCACTGGGTCTACACTAGCAATGACAAAAAAATAAATTACAAATTTATAATCTCAAATTTAAAAAAATATTTGAGAAATACCTGTGTTATAATGACTTCATATAATATGTTAACATTTATTACTAACTCATATTAAGGTACTAACTCAACCTAAAAATGGACACTCTGAGGATAGTGTATAGGCTAGCTGTTCCACAAAGTATTTTTTAAATCTTACCTAAAAGTGAGTGGGGATGGCACACGAGAGGAGTCTCAAATGTCAAAGAGTAAACACAAGTACTTGGCTCAGACACATAAGCCAATTTATTGCTCTTCCCACAAACAAGATGAACCTAAACATCAGTAAAAACAAATATGAGCAAAAAATGTCTACAAGAAACGATACCATCACTGATGATCTATCTGCTGTGTTCCAATGCCAGTAGATGCATTTCTGCACATACTGTCATGTCAAAG